ATTGTGACTGATACACAAAATAACAACTTCTTATGAAAATCAATATAAAACTGCTTGCATTTGAAAGAAATACCAGCCTGCTGCCAACAAGCACATAATTCAACATGTTTAAGCAAACAGCACTGCAAAAATTGCACTTCGGTAATAAGCAGTCAAACCACAATCAAGTGCTGGCTAAGCTCAAATCAAAGAAAATGACTGCAAAAATATTTAAAGCTGTCAATAATTTAAGTTTTCCCTCAAATATTGTATGAAATATTGTAGTTTTGACATCTCTTATTAAAATTACTTAAGAATCAATATTTAGGACACAACAATAATCAAATTGAGTTGCTTAAACAAAACTCAAGGGATCCTTCTATTTTGCGAAGAATTAAAGATTCATTTCTAAGGAACAGAATCAATGTAAAGTAAATAGATTCCTATAAGCTGCAAAAGGATAGCTTGCATCTACTGCATAGTAGATAAGCTCTGTGACAGCAGTACTCCCTAAGCAAAGGAAATCTAGATGACTGCATAATCAGGACTGACAGCACTCACAATACGTGACCCATAATTCAATTTCATTCATTCCTAATGAACTGTCAGTGCTAACATAGCTTGGAGAAGCTTTGTGATATGTAATCAGATCAGCTCTGGGTTCTGCCCTTTTTGGCCACTCTGCAGCCACATCCGCCTTGGTGTGGGATTTGTGGCTCTTCAAGGGATGCTCAGGATGGTCTGAATCATTATTTCTGTATTGCAAGCATTCCCAAGCAGGTGTCAGTGCTCACAGACACCTGACCTCTTCTTACTGCTGGCTTTCCTACCCCTCAGGGAAAAAAAATGGAAGTTATTAAAAAATATTCATACCACATTACAGCAAGCAGCCTTTAAAATTCAAAATATGTCCGCAAGTCTGAGGGTCTGAGATTCTTGTTCATCACTGTCTGCAAAAATACCAGCTGTTTGCCATGAAAAACTCAATATCATAAACAGAATGAATGGCAGCCCAGCCCAACTTTCAATCTCCCAAGAGTAAACTCCGTTTTTAAAGTTGTTTCTGGCAGAACAAGGAAACAAAAACTACCTCCCTACTTTTTATCACCTAGTGAAATTAGTAGGATGCAACACCTGTTGTATATCAATAATGTTTATTAAAGAGGTGGGCTGTTTCCTTTTTTTCACTACTCCAGATTCAATTCCTGATGTAGATGCCAGGTCTGTAGCATAACATATACTCACCATCTACCCACCTACTGCCAATTCTGAAATAGTTTTCCCATGGCAATAGTAATGTATCCACACCTTTTTTTTTTCTCACTAGGTAAAGCATCAGCTATTTAATCTTCATAGACCTGTTACTGATGTTGGAAAATAAGCATTATCAGCCCTCTCCACCCCCATGTTCAGACTAAGAATAGAGGCAAAGAGAGGACAGCAACTCTTTCATCAACCAGAGCTATCAGTCCTGTTTTGCAGATCATGTATAAATGCTACAATATTTAAGGCTGGTTACTGGAGTCAGACATCAGGAGCAGACTTGGGAGAAAAATTTGGTGCACGTTTTTCCCAAAAGCCACCACAGCTCCTTTGCTGGGGGTGTCAGTCTAAGGATTGCAGTTGCAGCTCACTACTCCCATGTCAGCCAGCACCAACAAGTGTGAAGGAGAGCATGTAAAGGAGAGGAAGAGTCCTAACGTGGGGAAAAAAAAAGATTGCTCTCAATGTTGCATTTTTTAACTCTCCACATACTTGTTTGCCAAGAAGACAATAAGCACAAGCACGGTTTAAGCAGAAAATTTTAAGCCTTAAGAGTTGTAAATCTCCCACAATGGGAGACTTTCTCATAAGTCTTTCTCTCAGCAAAATAAGAGCCCCCTGCTTGGCTTCCCTAACCGAGCTGGGGCAGCATCATCCCAGATGGCGTTTGCCTGTGACAGTTTCAGAAACCTGATCCAGTGAAGGTAATCACAGAACTTTTAGCAGCAATAGGAACAAGCCATTAGGAAAACACAAAGTATGGTCAAGTAGAATGAAGATCAAGTTGATAGACAATGGGAGAGTTTGCCTGGACTACAAGTGGATACTTTCTAGTGTCTTCATTTTGGTGTTCTTTTCCTGTTCTACATATGTTTGCTACAGATATTTCAAAATATTCCCAATTCCTCAGCTACACTGATTTACAGATTGCAGAATTATTAATTTCTATACATGCTGTTTTCTCCTTCCCTTTTTAACACCTGGTAGTGCCTAATACAAAGTGTTGGTAAGAAAGGACTTAATATTGATATCCTGACTCGTTTACTCAAAGAACTCCAGGAATGATTCTTCTCTATAGAGCTGATAGAAGAAATGAAGAAATGCACTGGCTCATCCTCCTCACTTGGAAAAACAGAACGGGAAAGGCTGAGAAGGGTATCTCAGTACTGTGGGAGACAATATACATTTACAATTTGCCTCTGAAAGCATGAGGAATTTGATTCTGCTCAAACAGCTGAAATAGCCCAGTATCTTCTGCACTATTTAGGTATGATGGTACAGAGGAGACATGGATCTAATGCAGGATTTTGTCTTAAGGTTTCTCTCCTCATTATGAGAAAGAGGAACAGTTTAAGATTGGCGTTTAACAGGAATGAATTGCAATCATCCAGCAGTGATTAATCAAAACAAGCTTTAGGAGAAAGTGTTACAGTGTGACAAATTGAAATATCCTTTGAAGCCACAATAATTACCGAGCAAATCTCAGAAATATATTTTAGTAAGAAAATTATCACACATTGGAAAAAAAAGCCTTCTTTTATTCCTATTATTTTCAGTATCATAATCTTCAGAATCAAAAGATAGCTCTGGCATGTAGCAAATACATGTGCCCTAACATTGTATGAAATATCAGTAGAAGTTAAAAAAAAAAAAAAAAAAAACTTAATTGTATGTATAGGTGCCACAGATTCATTCACCCACACATTGTCTAGGTACTGAGCTCAGAAAAATCTGCTCAGAAAACACAGGATCAAACTAATTCTTCCTCTTAATTCTTTCTCCATTAGGTGCCCACCACGGGCCTCCTTCTTTCCTAATGCTAATATGACTCATCCTCATGAATCATACTGATACTTCCTCCAGTAAGTTCCATTACATGGCTGTTGCAACTCTAAACCTCTTTTTCCTCTACCCTATGGTAGAGATTTCATACAAGTTGGAGACGATTGATCAAATTAGAGAGAATACAGTTTGTACTGACAAAAGGAACAAGTCAGACTGGCCTCTGGAGAGAGCAGTGCCATTACTGCTGCTCCAGAAGACCAATGTGTTGAGCTCTGCCCTGCAGCAAGTTACTTTGAATCATTCTACTCAAAATCAGATGACATTCATTTGTCGTCAGGCTGCCCATCGCTGAGTTCAGAATGAGATTTCAACTCTTCCAAGCCTCAGTTTTCATCTGGAAAGGTGACCATTCCATCTCAAACCATTCTATGAAAACATCACACTGCATCTTGTTAGGAGCCACAGCAACACAACACACTAAAGGTACACGGAAACTCTGCAATATACAGTTAGAATTTTCTTTAGCCATAATATTCCATCAACACTTAATTGATGTAATTTCTGATAGACATTTTTACACACGATACATCTCAAGTGCTTACTTCAGAGCATCTGTTCAACCACAGACAAGGAGCATATCCATACTGTACTCCCAGTAAAATCTGCTGTCAGAAATGCTTACACTTAAAAAAAAAGTCATGGAGTTTTTGAAGTGGACAAAACCTTTTGATTGCCTGCCTGGCCTCCTAAAGAAACTGCCTTTCTTCTTTTATAAGACAGTATATATTCCTTAGTATTTACACAAACACCCCCTCAGTCAGATGTCTAAACAGGTATTTGTGAAAGAAAAAGGGGACATTCAGACATGCATCTGGAGTACTTCTCGGTGCAAATTAAGTGTAGAGTTACATGCGTAGGGTTTGCAGGTGCATCTTCCTGAGAATGATTACATTAGTGTCCACACTGAGCAGATGGGCTGTGTTATTTTAAGGTCTTAATCAAATACATGCAAACACACACAGTGCTGTGTGCATATTAATGCCTGGGAAGTGTCACCATTGAGGCAAGCAGTACAGTTTTTTGTTTTCTTTTTTAAAAACATTGGGTATATAAAAATACAGAAGTGAAATAACTGCTGAATAAGGCAGCATAGAGGACGACATATAGGACATAGAAATAAAATGAGGCAAAGCACATTCATAATAAATACAAACTGAAAACCAAATATCTTGTTAACACATCAGGGTATTCCCATAGACCAATAGAAACTGAAGTGCCACACAAAGAGAATACAAGATGTTAGGCCACCAAAATCCCGAGGTATATGTGCTTAGGAGAACCAACACTGAACAGAGTAATCATTATGCATTATTGACAGCTATAAGCATCTGTCAGCTCTGAACTCTTTTGATGGCTTTCCTCCATAAGGGCATTTCCCCAGTCTCTGCTGATAGACCATGGTGAAGACTCTGCACTGCTGATCACAAATTAAGGGCTGACAGACTGAGATCCACCTAGCGGAATCTGTGGTCCACAAACTTTGTTGACTAAGGAAAAAAGTAAATCCTAATTAATCATAGAATCATAGAATCATTAAGCTTGGGAAAGAACACTAAGATCATCTAGTCCAACCATCAGCCCATCCCCACCATGCCCACTAAATCATATCCCTCAGTGCCACATCTACCCTTTTCTCAGACAACTCCAGGGATGAGGACTGCACCATCTCCCTACTCCAAAACCTCACCACTCCTTCTGAGAGGAAATTTTTTTCCAATTAAGATCAATTTAACACAGTTCCTCCCCAGTTTTCTTTATAAAGCACAGATCCTGTTTCTGCATGTCTGCATACTCAACAAAAATTCTTCTGAACTCGAGCTGCCTGGCTATACAAGGGAAAAATTAAAAGGAACAGCCAAAACAAGGGTTGTGCGCAGAGCCACAGTGTCCTGGGTGTCAGGATGTCCTCTTACCTGTGCAAGCACAATAGCACCAGGAGGGAGCCTGGTGCCTACACTCAGCCTCAGCCCTGCTGCACTCTGCAGCTGTCGGCTTGGATGGGATGGGTAGTGGGTGGGTGTGCAGGGGACACACAGACATGCAGACAGACAAACACACAGGCACTCACACAGAGGTGCTGGTGACAGAGTGAGGATGGGAAAAATGCTGCATCCTCTGCTCCCCCCAGGGAGGGGAGGGAGAGGAAAGGGGGAAAGGAGAAGGTGAAAAAAATGCAGGGGAAAATAGAGAGAAAGAAGGGAAGAGTGAAAAAAAGAGAAAAGAGAAGAAACAAAATCAACAAGAGAAGAAATGAGTAAATGGAGGGAAAAAAAAAAAAAAAAAAGTACAGAAAAGAAGAAAATAAAAATGGGGCAAAAAAAAAAAAAAAAAGAGGAGAGTAAAGGAGGAGAAAGTGAGATAAAAGAAAAAAAAAAAGAGAAATGAAGAAATGACAGAATGAGTAGCAATAAAAGAGAGAGAAGAAATGAGAGAAGAGTGAGAAAGAGTGAGATAGAGTGAGATAGAGTGAGAAAGAGTGAGAAAGAGTGAGAAAGAGTGAGAAAGAGTGAGAAAGAGTGAGAAAGAGTGAGAAAGAGTGAGAAAGAGTGAGAAAGAGTGAGAAAACCAAGCAAATAAAGAAAAGCAAAGGAAAAGGAAAGAAAAAAAGGCAAAGAAAAAAAAAAAAAAAGAAGCAAAGAAAGAGGAAGCGGGAAGAAAAAAAAAAAAATTAAAAAAAATAAAGGGAAAGCAAAGAGAGAGAGGAAGAGAAGAGCAAATAAATGAGAGCAAAGCAAAAAGGGGAGGCGAACGAAGAGCACAAGGATGGAGCCGAGGCGCAGTGCGGGCAGGGCCGGCCGGCAGCGGGACCCGGCGGGAGGGAGGGAGCGAGCCGGGCCGGGCCGGGCGCTGAAGCTGCAGAGGGACGGGGCGGGCAGGAGCGGCGTTTAAGCAGCGAGGGGTGGGGAAGGCGTGGGGCGGGGAGGGCTGTGGGCCCCGCCGCCGGCTGGGAGTGGTTGGGGGGGTGGGGTGGCCTGAGAACGGGGGTGAGGCTTGGGGAGGGGGAGTGGAGGCTGAGAGAGTCGAGGGGACTTGGGGATGGGGCTGAGGGTTTTGGGGGATGAGAGGGACGTCAGAGGAACGGGCACTGGAGGTGTATGACCAAGGGGAGTGTGGGGCACGCTGAGCTCCTATCCTCCTCAAGGAGGAGAAGAGAAAAGTCTCCAGAGAAGGCATCTCCTGGTTGAGAGATGTGTCCCCAGAGAGTCTGGTAAGAGAAGGAAATGCCTTTTCTGGATCGGCGAACAGGTGGCTTCTGCTTTTACCCCTCCGTAATCTCAGTATCTATATAAAAAGCCTTCTGCTGGGATATTTCTGCTTGAATTGCAGACTTGGGTACTGGAGCCAACAGTCCTTCATCCTTTCTCCAGACGCGTTTATTCATCCCTCCTCCAGCAGCATCAGAGCAGCAAGCATCAGAACATAGATTTTTTTTTTGCCTTAAGGATAACCACTGGGAACGTTTAGCAGAAGCAGCAACAACTCTATAGTACTGAAATCATAGGATCTTTTAAGTTGGAAGGAACCTGTGAAGGTCTTCTAGTCCAACTCCCCTGCAGGGAACAGGGACACCCACAGCTACATCAGGGTGCTCAGAGTCCCATCTTGCCTGACCTTGAATGTCCCCAGGGATGGGGTATCCACTACATCTCTGGGCAACCTGTGCCAGTGCCTCAGTACACTTATTGTAAAAAACTTTTTCACTATATCCAATCTAAGTCTTCCCTCTTAGTTTGTAAATATTTTCCTGTGTCCCATTACCGCAGACGCTATTAAAAGAATCTGTTCCCTTCTTTCCTTTAGCTCCCTTTTAGATGCTAAAATGCCATTCTCATGTTTCCCTGGAACCTTCTCTTCTCCAGGCTGAACAGCCCCAGCTCTCTCAGTCTGTCCTCACAGGAGAAGTGTTCCATCCCTTGGGTCATTTTTGTGGCCCTCCTCCATATGTGCTCCAACAGGACCGCATTTCTCCTGTACTGAGGACCGCACATCAGGATGCAGTACTCCAGGTGAGGCCTCAGCAGAGTAGAGGGGCAGAATCACCTCCCTTGCCCTGCTGGTCACACTGGCTTCTCTTGGTGTAATGCCTCCAGGAAAACAAAGCTCCCCTTTGCACATTGCACCTTCGCCCCAGTGCCTGTATAGCCAAAAAATCTTTTGACAGACATAGATTATTTGAAGTCACTTTGGTTTTCTGTCTCATGCCTACTGTGGCAGATCCCTGGTGTTTCTGTAAGCCCTTTTGCCAGTGACAGACATTATTTTCACTCACCTCAACACCATCACTGCTACTGCCAATGAGACAAGGCACAGGAATGTTATCCTTTGAACATTATTAAGACCAGTTCACGGTCACCCTGTCTGACCAATTGCATCTGGAAGAGAGGCATTTCATCTGTCAGTTGCTTCCACTTTTGTGCAGAAGATAAGGACATGTGGGGATGGAAAGACTTTGCTAATGAAGAAAGATCATCGCCATTACTGTTCCCTACAGGTTTCCTGCAAGGATCATTACCTCAATAGAATTGAAAGTCTGATTCAGCAAAACACTTAGGTACATATTTCCCATAATAGGATGTGATGTTAGTGTTCCTGATGTGGCTGTTTCAAAATTTTAGGATTGCATTTCAGGCATAGCTTGCTATAAAAACCTTTTCAGAGGTAAGAAAGAAAATACCTGCAAGTGAAGGCAGAAAGTGAAACCCACAACGTGCTTGACTTCTACATGGCTTCTGGAGTGGTTGTGCAGTTTATTCACTGCTCTACCACTATTTCTTTTTTCATTATTTCACAAACACAGAAAATAATACATACAATAGCTAATTCTGCGTGTGTATCTGTAAGCCTGGGAAGGAAACATCTGCCTCAGACTGTTCCCATTCCAGAATTCACATACAACATGAGAAAAAAGCAGAATGATAAGGAGTTGCTCACTTCTAGGATGAAGTAAAAAAAAAAACTGAAAACTTTTCCCATGGCAGAGTGATAAAATATCTATGCCAACAGTCTGCATTCCTTTTTCTTCAGGCTACTTCATCTTTCAACCTAATGTTTCATTGAACATTATCTTCACCTTATGTGAAAAGTACTGGGGTACTGGTGACTTTCTGCACAAATCTGGAGATTCCCAAGAATTTGGTGGCACTTACAGCAAAGGAAGATTTGCATGAGCACAGTAGTTCAATCAGCTCTAAGAGACTGAATCGAAGGACGCATCAAAATGAGTTTTGCATATGGTGAAGAAAACCTAAGATCCTCACTTTGTCTTTGACAATGTCAAAATATGTATATAAATATGTTTTCCAACACTTAGCTTTTCAGCTACTGCATATAATAATTGTGAAAACATACCTCAAGAAAAATCGGTTGTTAAAGCTTTTGCTTCTCCTTACATTGTATTAAAATAATTAACAGAATGTAAAACATTTCCTGTGAAAAGTATCTTTGCAGGTATTTTTTCTCCAGTGATTGTGGGAGAAACATGCAGTCTTTCAATAATACATAGATGGTAATTCAAGATGCACTCTTATTTTGTACTTTACTATTGCTGTATTATTTTCTGTTGGAAGCAACACCGTACCAGCAGCTCAGAGAACTGTGATAAATGTTGCATGGATTTATGCTTTGATTTATCTAAATTTTGCAATTCTTTCTGTTCTGATCATGAGCCTTTGATTTCCATTTTCACCCTGGGGTTAGGAACACGGCTGGAGCAGGTCTGGAAGGTCTGCAAAGCTGATATCTTATCCTCAGGAATGGATGCCTCAGCAGGTGGCTAAGAAAACAGTAATCATTTCATGGTGCTCCCCCAGAATAACTTCTCAGTCAGTGACCGTGGTAGAAGGATTTCACAAAGATGTGGTGCATGACTCCAGCAGCGCAGTGCTTTCTTCAGTAAATCAGACCAGCCGCATTTGTATCCATATAAATACTGCTTCCAAACTTGTGGCAATGTGTCCCACAATAGTTCACTCCCAGGAGATGCACAGGCCTCAAATCACAGGGCCTTAACTGCCTGAAACTACTACTTTGTCTGATCACAGATAAAACTGTCCTTCTTTTACAAATTTCCTGAGAATTGTGGTGATGGCAAGGCTCAGATTAGTAGCTGCGTGTTGGTGATTCCTAAGTCCCTAGGAAAGAAGGATTTATATCTCTGGGGAACACTCTTGTGCCTTTTATGCTTCTATATACATTATCCTGCACTCGTTTGTGTTATAGTCCCAAATGGTTTACATTTCAAGGCATGAAATGGATTCAAATGATCTCAGTTAAAAATACAAGAAAAGTAGATACTTTTTGCTTTCCTCCAGTATAGAATTTTTTACACCAAAAGCTATTTAAGACAATAGAAGAAAAATATTAAATTCTGCAGTAGAGTTTATGTGCCATCTCATGTTGTGCATTGTGTGCTCTGTCATGCTGTTGTGCTAATGTCACAATTTAGTTTGAGTTTTATACGGTACATGTATCAAGACATCATGATATTTCAGTCTTATTTCTTGTTATCTTACTTTGTTGTCAATAAATTGCAGGATTTATAATTCCCAAATCCTGATCCATAAATAATTTCTGTTTGGTGAGCACTGCTTGCTGCACTTCATCCAGTACTGAAAGTTACAGAGTCATGAATTATGAAATCCGCACAGTTTATTGAAAAGACTCACAGAGTTAATCTAACCAAATAAAAATTCCATTAATTCTACAATACTTTTTGGAATAAATCCTTAAAGATTAAAGAGAAATAGCAGCAAAATAAGAAAAAAATGAACCATCACTAGCTAAGACTTTCAGAATTTATTGCCTTGTCTTTAGAGAAATCATTCTTTAGTTGAGCTATATACTATTAATTTCCATATTGCTAAATCCTGATACATCTACATCCTATTTAATATAAAGCAGCTGTAAGAAAAATGATAAGCCACAAAAATCATTATTCCTGCTTTATTCTGCATAAGTATTTCTTGTTTTCTGCTTCACCTAATGATCGACAAATACTGCAACATCTCTCCATTAACTCTGCATTCACAAAACATCTTTATAAACACACAGCTCTTAATTTGATACATTAAGATAACCTGTACCTAGATCAAGTCCTAGATGCAATATTTAGTAAGACCCATCTGTATTTTCTATGTAATTTGGGAATGAAAATTCAATTCTAGATAATCCAAACTCTTAGAATTCGTTTTAGTAAAACATCGCTATTCGAAGCAGCTCACTAGGCTGACACATAAACAGAATGCATAGTGGAACAAAGTTCAACATATATAATATATGTGGTTAAACTTACAGCTCCTTCCACAATAGT